TCATGTGGTCTCTAAGTGTTCTAACATAGTTATTCACATTATTCTCATTATGAAGTGATTGATTATCTTCTTTGGTCATATTTTCAGAAAATGATGAGGATATCTCACAAAGTCTACCACTTAATATACATGACTACACTCTCATGACGTGTAGAAATAAAATAAAAGGAAGAAGAAAACAAAAGAAGAAAAAACAAGAGAAAAGAAACAAAGTTATATACAAGAAACGTGAAAAGAAAAACTAAAATAAAAACTATAATTTGACAAGAACTTACCTCCCCGGCAACAGCGTCAAAAACTTGATACCACCAAAAGATTGATGTCTTCTCCTAAGTGTAGGAGTGTTGAAGTAATAAATAACTTGACAAGACCGGGGTCGAACCATATGAAGGTTAATTGGATAAATTATAGACAACAACAATAGTACAACAACAACAATAGTAACAACAACAACAACAACAACAATAATAATAATAGTAGTAGTAGTAGTAGTTAGGGGTGTTCACGATTTGGTTTGGTTTGGTTTAGACTTAAAAAACCAACCGAACCGAATAACAGTATTTTTGTAAAAAATTAACCGAACCGAACCGGAAACCGGTTTAAACCGAAAACCATTGAAATCTAATCCCATCATATATGGTTTTTTTTTAATTGGCTTAGCCTTACATTAAACAGCGTGTAATCCATTGAAATTGAAATAATATTGGCCTACACTATTTCCATGGTCTAAGATTGAGTGCCTAGTTCTTCATTAGAGAAAACTTCTTCATTAGAGAAAACTTCAAATTTGGTGGCTAATGGCTGAGTAGGAACACAGGGTTGATCAAACAAAAAAGGAGAAATATTGCTGGTGGGATCCCACGTTATCGCGTGGTTTAGAAGATACCATCCAATCAACTGGAAAAATAAAAAATATTTGGCTTAATCTTGTATGATAATTATACACTAAGCGACCTTATTTTCATTTCCAATCATAATCCTTTAACCTTAATTTTAAGCATTCAAGAACAAGGGCCATTGCAAACTAGGGCTAGTGCTAAAGCTTCAAAGAAATTTATTCTAATTGAGATGAGCATTGATGACAATTGAACTGTCAAATCTACATGACATGGTCCCCAATTGCAAGCTCTCGAGGGTCAAAAAAGGCTACTGTAAGTGAAGATTTTGTTTAGGTTTTTTTTTTACTGCAAGTATACTAATGGATGCGAAGGTGTGAGTTATTTACTTATTGATCGACTAGAGAAGAGACAGATGCGGGGGCAAGAGGCAAAGAAAATAAAAATTAAAGGGGAAGGGAAGAAGACAATGAGACTCTCTAGTCTGGTGTGGGCGGCGACTTCAAAAGTAAATTGTAATGTCATTTAGGTTTAGGTTTACTTACTATACTATTTATAATAGGTCATTTATAACTTTATTTTATGGGTGGATCGGTTCGGTTCACCGGTTTCAATGGTAAAACCAAAACCAAACCGAACCGGAAAGATTTCTGGTTTTAGTAATCGGTTTAATCAGTTTTTCATGTCGATTTGGTTTTCTTGGTTAATTTTCCATCGATTTTTTCTGTTACTCGATTTTTTTGAACACCTTAGTAGTAGTAGTAGTAGTAGTAGTAATAGTAATAATAATAATAATAATAAAGAAAGAGAAGAAGAAGAAGATGATGATGATGAGAACTTGGAGATCAAATATTAATGTAAGGATTAAGCAATAATAATAACAAATGTCAAGGTTAGAGGTTTCACTAATGGTATATCAAATAAGTATAGTATAAACTTTTATTATTGAATTGGAAACCACACACAAAGGAGGTTCCAATCAGATTATATATTGTTAACATGATTACATTAGTCATCTTATTCGATTAATGCTAATACTTGTAAATCTCGTCATGCATTCATGATTATAACTTATGTTGACAACAAATCAAGTTCCTTTCATAGTTCAGATGTTGGTTATACAAAATAGTATGGGCTGTGAGAGTGCCAAGTATTTGTTGTACCAAGTGTTATACAAAAAAAATCAAGATTAGTCATTTAACTAGCAAAGTATTAAAGAGTGAACAAGATAACAAATATAAAATATGTTAGTATCAAACATTAAAGTCCATATTAATTTTACATTATACTTATTCTTACACCATTAGTGTAACCTTTTCACCTTGACATAATTAACTTAGCTAGACATAATGAAAGAAAGCAAAATAGATAAACAAAATAAGAACATAAATAAAATAAAAGTTAACTATGTAAATGAAAGAAAATGTAAGGCATAAACTTGATATTAATGAAATCAAAGCATAAACATTACAAAAAATTCAACGAGAGAAAGCAAGAGTATGATCTTGATCTGGAGATCAAGATGCCTAAATGCATGGCAAATGCCTTCTTTTATAGGCCAAAATTGGGAACTATTGATTTGATGACTAATTGATGAGTGGGTGGCCAACTCTTGACTTGATGATAATCTTTATCTTCTATTGTTTACCTAAAATGTCATTGATAATGTCAGAATTAGGACCACTTAAAAACATGAAAGTTCTAAAAAATTATTTCAGATTTCCAGGAAAAAAAATTAGAGGTCATTTGGATTTCTAGAACTCTAGATATGGGTCAAACACTGAATAGTAT